TGAAGACATTGCTAATCACAAAGTTTACTGCTTCATACCTATAATTCTTTATACAGTGGTTTTTTCTAATGAAAATGTTTTCCATGTGAATACTTTTGAGGATTTGCTTGGAGTGAACATCGATGCTAATGTTTAAATGTTCTTGAGCATATGTTCGGTCTACCATTTCTAATTTAGAATCTTTTGTTAGAGCTAATTTCCCGAACAAGCTCGCACAGTGCTACATTTAGCAAAAGGTTGCTTTGTAACTCAAGTAGCCATTCTTTCACTTTCGAGCTTTTCTCGCTTGGATTTTTTTAACAGTAATCGTTGTCACTCTGATTAGATTGGAAAAACCGCGCATATACCGCACACCTTAGCGAGATTGTAGATTATATGGTCAATTAATGTCATGTTAATTTGCTCGCATGCAGGGGGTTTCAATCTCGACACCTGGATGTGATGTAGTCGGAATCATAAGTCATGAAATCGGACACGCACTTGGAATCTTTCACGAACAAGCACGTCCAGACCAGGTCAGCTCTTTACTTCCCATTTTCATGCATAGACGAATTCGGTTTGAACACAAGCTTTACATGGTTAATCACTTAAAAAATCGTGAGTTATGGCCAAGACCACATCAGTGCATGTAGCTCCAAGTGGTTGTACATACAACTGATTATATTCAACTACATCCTTGATGATTATTATCATTTGAAGACTTTTTTGAGGAGAGGCACATTGCTGTAAATTACAACAATATTCCGATCAGCCGATGGAATAATTTTAATTCTGTTGGAACTAGTCAGGCGGAAACATTTGGTCTACCTTACGATACAGGTATGAACGTTTGGTTTTGAGTTGTTACTTGTCGCTACCGCTTCTCGATCATGCAGCTAGAGCTTGTAATGGACTTATTCGGTATAGTTCACAAGTTTTTGAAGGACTAAAATACAGAATTTTTGTCTTGATGACTGCGTATAAACATTTTGACTCACTTCAGGATCTGTCATGCATTATGGCCCATTCGGATTCGCATCTGACCCATACACTCCGACGATACGAACTCTAGAACGCATCCAGCAGAACACTATCGGTCAGAGAATAGGTCCTTCATTTCTAGACTTTCAGGCGGTGAGGAGCTGAGAAGAAGTAGCGGGTTTCATGGTGCTATTAACATCTTTGTTTATAGATTAATGCGGCCTACGGCTGCAACGAACACTGTGCTCCTTTGGATTGCTTACATAATGGGTATCCGCATCCAAATAATTGCTCAGTATGCACTTGTCCAGACGGATTCAGCGGACGGTTTTGTGAATCTGTCCATCCATCTGTTGGAGACTGCGGTGGCTTGATTATGGTACAGCTATGATCGCAACATATCTGAAGACTGACGTCTTTTGAGAACACAATGTTTAGGTATCAAATATGCCACAATTTATAACTAGTCCAAACTATCCTCTCGGATTCAAGAGTGGTGTGGAATGTTACTGGCTACTCCGTGCACCATCGCGTAAGTTATCTTGATCTCTGTGAAGCATAGGTTTATTGCCCCTCATCTGACAACAGAAAATTCCAGAAGGTCGTGTTTTCTTGGAATTCGTCGATTTATTTGAGTTTCATTGTGAGGATACCTGTGACAAGTCTTATGTGGAGGTAAAGTACCACAATGACAAACGTCTTACTGGGGCGAGGTTTGTTCTGCAATTTCTCCAATTTCTGATTGCACAATGAACGGCGTTTTGCGCTCTACAACTATGGGTTCAAAAATTGGAAATTTCAATTCCTCATCTGTTGCGTTCATTCGCTTATTTGTCGAAGAATTATCTACTACACATCGTAAGCTACCGCAAATACAAATAATGCGATTCCAATTCATTTTGGTTTTGTCAACAAATTAATGTCGGATGACAATAGCAGCATCATTGTTTGTTTATCAAAGCCACCCATCATATCACCTCAACTAAAGTCATATTCTGTGAACAATAGAATTTTATTGAGGCTGCAGTTGAAGATATCTTGGTTATGTCACTCACTGTAATAGTGAACAAAGTACTTCAATCTTTAGAGAAATCTGCTCTGAAGATGAATAAAAAAGCGAGAACTTGATTTAGCATCAAATCCAATGTGTAGAATTCCTGCAAAGTATTCTTTGAAGCCATTGCTCGGAAAAATTACGACTACGAGCTTTTCACATCTATATGGCCTCTGGATCCGCTGAGTGTGCTTGGAAAGTGAAATAGTGCTTTCTTAGCGTTTTCCGGCCTTGGGGATCGCGGGGAGGGAGCGATTCCGGCTAGGAAAACCACTGGCTGCAGAGACTGTAACCCCACCCATTTGGGCGGCAATTGGCTGATTGGCTCAGGCAGGCAAGCGGCTCGGGTGTATGCCAAGATGAGCTGGAAATAAGCATACTGTACTCCTGCGGTTGTCAATACGCCGCGCA